GGGGCACAGGGGTGTTAACTCTTCCCTATGTTATCCCAAATATGCATGCATGTGTGTATGCGTGTATATATACACACACATATATATGGCTGGAGGTGCACTTTACAAATATACTTGTTCTGACTTACATACAAATTCAACTGCAGAACCTATCATGTTCATAACTTGGGGACCGCCTGTATTTATGCTTGGGAATATTTATGGCTGCAATTCTGCATGCACCCAGGAGCAAATGTTTTCCTACATGTCAGGCAGTTGGATTAGATCAGTGGTTCCCTGGCCTTTGGTCCTCCAGTGGTTTTGGATTTGGTAAGCTGACTTGGATTTCAGAGAGCTGAAGTCTAAAACAACTTGAAGACCAAAGGTACAGAACCACTGGACTAAATGGACCTTGAGATCCTTCTCAACTCTGTGAAGAAAATGCTTTAGTCTTTTTCTTCCAGCAGAATATTTCTCCGCAACATGAGCTGAATTGTAGAATGAACACCATAGAAGATGTTGTAGAAGGCAGTTAGTCCAATATAAACTGATGCAGATTTACATTATGATGTGAAGGTTGTTTACAAAAAAAATCTTAAATTTTGTTTTATTTTTCATCCCAGATAATGATCTTTATATTTAAAGATGATGGGCATTTCATAAGGTTATTAAGATGCAATGTACCCTATTATCCCTGTATCTGCAGGACTAGTAATGGTGTTTCCATTTATCCATGTCCAACAAAATATGTCGGCAGAACTGTGGCGCAGCTGACTGGGAGTCATCTACATTAAGATCACTACTGACCAAAAGGTCATGAGTTCAAAGCCAGCCTGGGTCAGAGTGAGCTTCTGACCAATTTGTGTAGCTTGCTGTCAACCTTTGCAGTCTGAAAGACAGTTGCATCTGTCAAGTAGGAAATTTAGGTACCGCTTAAGAGGGGAGGCTAATTTACGATGCCATAAAAATCTCCAGCAAGCATGCAAAGAATGAGGAAGTACTTCATCAGTGTCACAAATGATGCTTGCAACAGCCCCCTGGTGGCCAGAATACCCTCATGAAAAAGCTGGAATATGAAATAGCCTCTGTGTGTCTGTCTATATATGTTGTATGTCTATGGCATTGAATGTTTATTATTTATTTATTTATTTATTTGCTTTATTTCTATACCGCATTTTTCAGCCCAAACAGGCGACTCAATGCGGTTTACATGGTACAAATTATCAAACAATATCAGTGCAATTAAAACATAACAATGCAACAAACAGGATCAACAACATCAATCCACAACAATTAACAAATCACAACAGACAAGTCAACAAAACGAAACATAACGCCTCAGTGAAATCAGATCCGTTCTCATAGTCCTTGTGCCATTCCTATGTTCCATTTACCGTCTTCCTTTGATTGGTTGCACTGCTTAACCAAACGCTTGTTCATAAAGCCAGGTCTTTATGTACATTGCAATCTGCCTTGAGCCCCCTGCGGGGTGAGAAGGGCAGAATATAAATACTGTAAATAAATAAAAAATAAAATAATCATTTACTAGGTCTTTCACTATGACTCTTTGATATACTTGGTGCAGAAGTCCTTCATTTCAATAGGATTTGCTATTATTCACGATTTCTCATATCAACATAGTCCACAATACCAAGTCAGTTGAGATAAAGCTGATAGTATGAACCGGAGCTGTTCCTCACTAATCAGAAAGGAAGACATGCAAAATCTTGTCCAGTATGATGAAAATAAATTAGACATTAAGCCAACTTGGTGAGTCTTTTCCTAGGGCATCTTGTAATCAGTGATGACAGTACTATCATTGTAAAGGAGCTTAGAGTTGTACATAAAGGGCTGTTATGAATGAGACTGCTGAAGGTACTCCACTAAGAACCTAATGGAGATGATCTCTTAAAGCAAAAAAGAACTAGTGCATTAGCTAATTGCGAAGCAACACTTCCAAACCCATAAGACTGCAAGGTCTGTCTAGTCCAGAGTTTCTCAAACTTTGCTCTCCTAGATGTTATGGACTTCAGCTCCTACAATTCTTAACAGCTGGGAAGATGGTTGGGATTTCTGGGAGCTGAAGTCCAAAACACTTGGAGGAGCACACTTTGAGAAACACTGGTCTAGTCCATCCCAGCACACCATCTTCAGAGGGGGTTACTCCATCTTCCAAGAGGGCACAGCAGTTTATATTACCTACAGAGGGAATTTATTTTGCTTTGAGGTGAAAAGTGTTAGGTGACAGGGCAAAAACAATGCTTTGTCCTTAGCTGTCAGCCCTCTTTTTTTCAAATCAGGTAGATAATTATAGTAACTTCTCCAGCTGTTAATAAAAATGTGCTGATAGATGTTAAACATTGAATGCTTTGATAGGGGCACTGGTAAAATAGAAAGAGGGTGTAAGCAAATTACCTCCCTCTGACTTAGGAAAGTGTCCCTGGGTGATAAATAACTGCTTTGCTTACGTAGTATTACTAACACCTCTCCCTGTTTGTCGTATCAATCTGACATGCCTAGCAGCATATAAACCTTATAAATCTAGACACAATAAGTGAGGTGGAAAAGGATGGGAGAAAGTCTGCAGAGAAAGAACTACTAGAATCATACCACCAGTTGTGCTGAATATTTATTCATAGGCAAAGAGTTTTTTTTACATATGAAAAGCAAGGGCTGACATGCAGTGCAAATGCACACGGTATAGTTCAAAACCTAGAGGTGGGGAAAATGCGACCCATGGCTTGCATAGAGTCCTCCAGGGACCACATTCATGGTTAATTTCTTTTCCAGTGTGTGTGTTGCTACAAAACACTGCCAAATTACTCATAGTGAAAGTTTCTTGAACAAATTTGAAAGCCCCTAGGCCCCCAGGATTTGAAACACCTTTTTTGGGATGTTGAGAGTTTTTTGGGCTGTATAGCCATGTCCTAGAAGCATTCTCTCATGACATTTCGCCTACATCTGTGGCAGGCATCCTCAGAGGTTGTGAGGTCTGTTGGAAACTAGGAAAATCGGGTTTATATATCTGTGGACGGTCCAGGGTGGGAGGAAGAACTCTTGCCTTTTGGAGCTAGGTGTGAATGTTTCACTTGGCCACCTTGATTAGCATTTGATGGCCTGACAGTTTTTAGGTGTGGCTTGTTACGGCCTGGGAAAATTCTTTGTTGAGAGGTGATTGGGTGTTCCTGATTGTTTCTTGTCCGGATTTCCCCTGTGTTTGAGTGTTGTTCTTTATTTACTGTTATAATTTTAGAGTTTTTGTAATACTGGTAGCCAGATTTTGTTAACTTTCATGGTTTTCTGCTTTCTGTTGAAATTGCCTACATATTTGTGGATTTCAATGGCTTCTCTGTGTAGTCTGACATGGTAGTTGTTAGTGTGGTTCAGTATTTCTGTGTTCTATGGCAGGCAGAAACCAGCCAGGATTAGAAACTACAAGGCCATTAAATGCTGGCCAATTGCAACATTCACACTTGCCTCAAGCAGACAAGAGTTCTCCCCCCCCCCCCCCCCCCCCCCCCCCCCCCCCCCCCCCCCCCCCCCCCCCCCCCTGGTACATTCCACAGATATATAAACTTCGCTTACCTAGTTTTGAACTGACCTCACAACCTCTGAGGATGCCTGCCATAGATGTGGGTGAAATGTCAGCAAATAATGCTTCTGGAACATGACTGTCTTGTTGTTCATTCGTTCAGTCATTTCCAACTCTTCGTGACTTCATGGGCCAGCCCGCACCACAGCTCCCTGTCAGTCGTCACCACCCCTAGCTCCTTCAAGGTCAATCCAGACACTTCAAGGATCCCATCCATCCATCTTGCCCTTGGTCGCCCCCTCTTCCTTTTTCCTTCCATTTTCCACAGCATAATTGTCTTCTCTAAGCTTTCCTTTCTTCTCATGATGTTCCTTCTCTAAGCTTTCCTTTCTTCTCATAATGTTCCTTCATGAGAAGGAACATGACCATACAGCCCAGAAAACTCTCAGCAACCCAGTGATTCTGGCCATGAACATCTTCAATAACATAATGATGAAATGAGAATGATAACAATGATAATACTTAACTTTTCAGTTATTATGGATACACGTGTGTAGATTTCCTTGTGAATGTCCACTGAGTTTAATGAGACTTACATCTTGAGGATATAGAATTGCACTGCAGATTGTTGAATTCAACAAAATCTAAAATGCACTGCAGTAATACTTTTATTGATCACCTAATAACCAAAACTACATCATGCAAAAGCGTTTAATGTATTTTGAGTTTGTAAGTTGGGTCAGTAAAGATATCACTGTTCTGTAGATTTTGTATTTCATTGTATTTTGCTGAATATGGCTGCTTCTGAGTATGTTTCCTATATGGATGAATAATATGCCAAGTTCTAAAATCACTTGCTAGTCCCAACTACAGTAAACCCACTGGATCCATGGGAATTTGGGAAGTCAACATTGATGAAAGTTGCATTAGTTTACTGGGTCTAATCTAGAAATTAAGTTTAAACTCAAGAGTAAGTAGTTTATTTATTAAAAGAAACAAATATCACGTCCTTTGAATGGGAACTAACCAGTGAGTCTCTCAAGGACTGCTTGAAACTAGACCCCAAGCAACAAAGGTGATTTCTATATGTCAGCCTGCTCCTGCCTGACATGAATACAGAGATAAGGTAGAGGGGAGGTTCTGATAGTTTCTGAGTTTATTTCAAAAAAATACTGTTGTTTCCACTATTAAATTGTATCATAAAATATTCTGGATTCATGCAAATAAACCAAAATATAAATACAACACATAATTATTTCTCCTGAATGTATAATCATCCAGATAGTTGCAAAGCTTTGCCACCAAGCCTTGTGAATATTATCTGCAAGGTCATGTTGGCTTTCTCTGTGAACTGCCATTGGTGTTGCTCTATAGCTATTGTAACAGTGTGTTCCACTACCTAAATCAGAATCCCTGTATTTTTCCAGCTCCTTGATGTTCCAGTGATTAACTGATTTGTTCTTATTTGCTTGTCTTTCTCTCTACTCAGTCTGCGGTTGTGACTTGGCTCAAGGAGGCTTTTTCATTAAGAATGGGGAATACCTCTGTACTGTGGATTATCAGCGGATGTATGGGACCCGATGCAACGGCTGTGGCGAGTTTGTGGAAGGAGAAGTCGTAACCGCTCTTGGGAAAACATACCATCCTAACTGCTTTGCCTGCACTGTGTGCAAGTAAGTCCACTGATGCTACCTAAACAATCCCAGAGATCATAAACAGTACAAATTCAAAAAGCAAAAAGTGTGTTAAGTTGTGACGTAGTTATACATTTATATAAACATCAACTGAAGTTCACTCTATGTCCTGCACCTTTTTGCTGCTGACAACATGCTCTGCTTCTTACTAAGGAAGGTATTATAGTGGCCCAGTCTGTGTAGATGTGATTTGTGTGTGTATATGTGTGTGTATATATATTTGTGTATATGTGCGTTTGTGTGTGTGCATGTGTGTATGTGGTTTTGCACCTGCGTTGTAATGTAATTTTTGTTTTTTGGCTTTTAAAGTAAGTCTCTTCTACTGTGTTTTTCAGTGATGGTCATTCGTTGCCCTGATAGGTGTATTGTGTCCAAATTTGGTGTCAATTCATCCAGTGGTTTTTGAGTTATATTAATCCCACAAACGAACATTACCTTTTTATTTAGATAGAAGAGTTATGTGAATATAGTTGTGAAACTCTCTGATATTATTTAAACATACTCAGTGGTCAGGAATGATGGGAATTCTAGTCCAGTAGGGTCTGAAGACACACAGTTTCTCCTTTGAGGAAAGGCCATAGCTTAATGGACATGCAAAAGTGCCAAGGCTCATTCCCTGACATTCTCAGTTAAGGCTGAGGAAAACTTTGACCAAAACTCCTGGAAAGCTATCAAGTCAATATAGATTTGGGATGGGCAGTTGTAGAGGATGTAGGTCCCAAACTCTGTCCTCAAGGTGTGCTGTACCCTCTCTGAAAACTGACACAAAATCAAATGAAAACTTAACCAGGAATAATTTAAATTTTTGTTGGTTGGGAAAGTTTGAATGGAGGGGAATTAGAGGCCTCTGTGTTCCCCCAGGAGTGCCAAACATTGAAGAAGGAGCTTGATAGGGTCTGGGAGTTGGCTGGAAGGCAGCAGTAAGTCTCAGGCCACAGTTTTACCACCCCAGTGCACACAGTGCTGTGCTAGATAGACCAGTTTTCTTATGCACTGTAATGTGTGTGTGTACATACAGTATTCATTGGAACGGAAAACTCTCTGCTGGCTGTAGGTCATATTTTTGTCATTTAATACTTTTCATGGTAGTGACAGAAACTTTTTAATCCCCCTTGGTATAAGTCTGCAATAAACTCAATCTTCTTTCCCCAAAAAGAAATAGTTCACATTGGGTAGAACACTTTAGAAAGAGTTCACTTTAGATAACAGTAGTGTGTGGTCTACATTTCCCAAATGAAAATGTTTATGTTAAGCTTTGATGCCCTTTCCCCCCACAACCCACACACACAGCACACACAGATACCCAAACATTCCCCATAGAGCTTTTGTGATAGATTTGCATTGAAAGAGGGATCAAACAGTCTCATCTAACATCAGCTTTTGTTCTAGTGAAGGTGCATTTAGTCTCTGGAATTTGTCCAAAGGCTCAGCTTTGCCAGTTGTTACATTTTGATCCTTTTTGGCCCGTGTTCCTGCAAGATATTGATTTGCATCGCTAAGGGCGGCAGCTGAAGAGATACGGTAGTGAAACTGAAGGGATAGCCTTTCATTAAAGCCCTTTTGTTCTTTTCCTCTCTAGACGTCCTTTCCCACCAGGAGACCGGGTTACCTTTAATGGAAGAGACTGTCTCTGTCAAATGTGTGCTCAGCCAATGTCATCCAGCCCAAAAGAACTCTCCAGTTCCAGCAGTAAGTATTCCATAATTTTCCAGAGATTCAAAATAAAACAAAAGCTTTTAATCGCTTGCTTTTAGTTCTGTCTAACCTGGACAGTGTTGACATTTGCTGGGATGCAATTTTGCATTCAGAAACACTAGATTTTAATGTGTGCGCGCACACACACAACATACTACAAAGTAAGCTTATTTTCACTCGAAAGAGTCCCCAATCCCCAGATTTTGTTTCTCTGTGGATAGTACCTATGTTTGGCCTGTAGGAAATTGCACCGGTATAAGATTTGTGTTAAAACACCATTGAGAAGGAAGATTATGGCAACTATCTGGATTATATAAAAATAGAAATATAACCCCTGGTGGCAAACAGGTTAAACCACTGAGCTGCTGAACGTTGACCAAAAGGTCGGTGATTCAAATCCGGGGAGCGGGGTGAACTCCTGCTGTTAGCCGCAGTTTCTGCTACCCTAGCAGTTTGAAAACATGCAAATGTGAGTAGATCAATAGGTACAGTTCTGTGGGAAGGTAATGCTGCTCCATGCAGTCATGCCAGTCACATGATCTTGGAGGTGTCTGCGGAAATGCTGGCTCTTCAGCTTAGAATTGGAGATGAGCACCACCTCCCAGAGTCAAACACAGCTAGACTTAATGTCAAGAGGAAACCTTTACCTTTAGTAATATAATACCTATAATTGTAATGAAAAAATACCATTTCATTTAATTGAGTCATGTTAAAACAAACATGAAGCAAACTAGTGAGAAGGGATGGATCTTTTTGCTATCTTACAGAAAGCCTTCGACAACACATAGTGGAAAGTACATTCTTGAAATATGACTTAATACATGAATGACATAAATAAATAAATTGTACTTTGAATACCATTTTGTCAGTGCAAGAGGTTTTCTGTGGGTGAGTGGATGATGACTACTGGATGGCATATGTTCTGTATCAGAAACTAGAGCTGATGTGATCTATCCAATGCAATTTTCTGAATCAGCACCTCAAATAACCAAACCAAATCTAAAGTTGACCAAAACCTGATTTGTAACTGATTTGATACTAATGTTTGAGTGGTCCTGGTCAAAGTGGTCCCTGGTCAAAGTCATCCCTGGTCAAAGTCATCCCTGGTCAAGTGGTCCCTGGACAAAATGGTCCCTGGTCAAGTGGTCCCTGATAAAAAAAAAGGTTGGGAACTACTGTCTACAGCAGTGGTTCTTAACCTGTGGGTTCCCATGTGTTTTGGCCTTCAACTCCCAGAAATCCCAGTCAGTTTACCAGTTGTTAGGATTTCTGGGAGTTGAAGGCCAAAACACCTGGGGACCACAGGTTGAGAACGACTGGTCTACAGGTTTAAAACATCTGATCTCTTCCATCTTGTAGCGCAGAATGAAAGTCTGAATGAAATGCAACATTTTTGCATGCATAATAGTGGTCACAAAATCACAGTTATACCTGTAGCAATCATGTGAAACTTTTTGTATTTTGCCATGGTCAATATTTACTCAGAGGCAAATTCTTATCCTCAAATTTGGGGTGTTTTAAACTTTACTGTTATTATGAAGGAATTTTTTTAAAGCTGTGGATGGTTGACTCATGGATACAGAGGGCCAACTGTAGGCAATTCTGTAATCCAAAGAAATAATAATTTGAGGATATTCACATTCACTTTCTGAAAATGTAAGCATGCAAGTATACACCACTAGTTGTATAGACTGGAATTTTTGATAGGTGCCTGGATGAAACAAGAAAGGGATTGTTCAGGGAAACTTTCTGGAAATTTGGTCATCCCTTCATCCAGTGCCTTCAGTGGCATGTAAGAAAATGTTAATGCCCTTTGCTAGGAGAGCCCCGCACAAAGAGAGCCAGTGTGTAAAGTTCAAGAGAGGCCAGTAAACAAACTTTAGGGAAATGTTAATTGGCAAAGATTTCTCTGATGTGAGGAATCCCAGTCCTTTTCTCTGACAGGTGAATTTTAATTAGTGCAAAATGTTCCAGTTCTTCTGCTTCCTTCCAAAGCAGCAAGCCATAGTTTATATCAGTCTTCTCACTCCTTTGAAATCATGTTTTGTAATGCAGCCCAATTTGGAAATAAATCTCTTTTATAGGATGTCTCTTTGTTTCTTGGTAATTTGCTGTTATGTAGTTTACCAAAACAGCTTAGGAAACGCCAACATTTTAGCATTGGCTTAGCAATGAATTCAAGGTGGACAGATGCCAATAATCTGCCAGGGAGATTACAAACAAGAATGAGTCAATAACCTCTGAATAAGCATATCCCTGATATAATTACAGACTATCGGGCTGTTATCAGAAAGGAAGACTCTTCATTTTTCTCCTGCTTTCCCTCTTTGAGGTTCTCGGAATTGATATTTTATCCCTTTTATCTTTTTCTATATTTAATAGGCACTAAGCACCCCATATTAAAAGCATGACTTTTTTCAGTTAGTATATGAGGAGTTTTCAATTTGATATAAAAAGTTTATATTTTGGCAGTGTAATATCTGGATTTTGGGATTACTTGCCACTTGCAAGCATTGTGTGGTCCAGTTCTGATTTGCATGACTGGCTGATTGTTGCAGAGACGGAGGCCACTTCCAATTTTTTTCTATTTTCATTGCGACACACTATTAAACTCTTACAGAACATAACTAAGGGTCTTTCTACACTGAGATTTTAATGCAGCTTGGAACAAGGTATTTAACTTTGACAAGCAATACAGCATATTTAATTCTTTTAGAAATATAATATTGCTTTGAATATTTCAGAAATATCTCCTACTGGGAAAAAAGGGAAAAACAAAAGTCATTCTTTTTATAGTTTTCTTCATTCTTCTGAATAAGAAATAAATATTAATTTTTGCTCATTTATTTTAGAAGCTAATGCAGACACAACAAATGTTAGCATTTTTGCTTCCCAAACTATTAGCCTAGAAAGGGACATATTCCACATATCCCTTTGTTGTGGGTCAGGGGTCTTCTAGAGCAGAAAGCATGCTTGCAAAAGCCTTTTGACGCTTGTTCCTCAAAATCTTCTCATTCAAATGACCACAGCTTTGTTTTACCACCACTCCCAACTATCATAGATCTTTAGGAATACTGCCTTGTTTTGGTCCATGAGTGTGAGAACTCTGTGTCTTTTTTGGAAAGACATCCCAGCCATCTTTCATCAAGCCTAGCCCAAAGTTGGGGTCATTTTGGTGACAGTCTCATTTTGCTCACTAATTGAAATGGAAATCAGGCTTTGTCACAAAGGCTGAAAAACAGAGTCCAGTACAGAACTCAATCCAATTATCAGATCCAAAACATTACTTTTAACTGGCAACAGTGTTTGTCTGGAATGAAGTCTCCTCTCTGGCTGAAATGCAAAGTGAAAACCTCCTAAATCTACTTTGGAAAGTGCAACATGTTAAGTTATAAAACATTGAGAAACATACACATATTTTTGGCTCATATGAAAGCTCTATTGATACCTGTAAGAGTGCATTTGTCTCTCCACCTATCTGCATGGCTTTTGTCGTGGCTGTTTCTTTCAAGGATTTGACATATTTTGGACATGAGAATAAAGAACAATAGCCTGAAAGCAATTGTGATACAGTTCCTTTTGCAAGAGGAATTGAGATGAAACAGGGGACCAAGGAATTCTCTTTAGCCTCTTAAGTGCCAGCAGTGAAAGAGTCTTTCCAATGAGATAATTCCCACATCTCTAGCATCTGTAGCAGGTGTACACTACATATAGTGCTCCTGTTGTTTTTGGACTGTAGATCTCATCAACCTTATCTGACATGGCCATTGGTTAATGGAAGCGTTGGTTCAACCATAGGTAAAGAGCCTATTCTAAACTCTTGACCTAGGATGAAATTGCTCAATACAATGCTTGTACATTAAACTAGTGGCAATTTGGTGCTCCAGAGCTTGGTACTTTTCCAGCCTTGAGGCCTGTTGATCATGCCCTTTGAATTTAGTTCTCTTATAATTGCATCATTGTAACAGCGCTCCATGCAGTCATGCCGGCCACATGACCTTGGAGGTGTCTACAGACAACGCTGGTTCTTCGGCTTAGAAATGGAGATGAGTACCACACCCCAGAGTCAGACATGACTGGACTTAATATCAGGGGACTACCTTTACCTTTACCTTTACCTTTATAATTGCATATGAAAATGGTTGCAACATTTTTTTGAAAAACTTTTACTAGGAAATGATAAAATGTTTGATGCAATTCTATAGGGTTTTTAATTTTGTCACCTTAATAATAATAATAATAATAATAATAATAATAATAATAATAATAATAAACTTTATTTTTACCCCGCCACCATCTCCCTACATTAAGGGCAGAGGGAAAGTGCATCATGAGGACGGAGCTGTAATTGGGACAGACTAAAATGGAATATATATTCACTTAATATGTTCACAATCTCTCTTTGAGTTGTATTATTATTATTATTATTATTATTATTATTATTATTATTATATAAATAATTCCTCTGCTCTTTCACAAACACTCTTGGAGGAAAGAAAAGGAAAACAAGATTGAAAATAACATTCAGGTTCCATCTATATTGCAAAGGCAAACCTCCTCTGAACAAATCTTGCCAATAAAGACCTGGAATAAATTGGTAACAACTTGAAAGCACATGACACACAGAAAGCAATCCCTTGTAATGTTTTTGCCTTGCTTCCATATAGAGCAGTGGTTCTCAGCCTGTGGGTCCCCAGATGTTTTGGCCTTCAACTCCCAGAAATCCTAACAGCTGGTAAACTGGCTGGGATTTCTGGGAGTTGTAGGCCAAAACATCTGGGGACCTGCAGGTTGAGAACCACTGATGTAGAGCATTAGAATGCTTAAAAGTTACATTTTTCAATATCCCCCAGCAAAAAAAAAAGTTAATCTTTTTTACATTAAGTGAACAATGTATTTAAGAGATGAGAGGGAACTACTTCTGTTGAGTCCAACCCTGAATGCCCTGTTCAAGCACTGAACAATACATACCTGGAAATGTTATGATTGTTCTC